GTGTTTACCTGAGTAATAATAAAAAGTGTGTGAGCAATAAATACAATTTTATTTAAATTCATTTTTATTTAAATAGCACCAATTCACAACATGAGTTGTCTCATTGGACTTTTTGAAGAGCAGGTCTAGTTATTAACAGGGACCCAACAATGAACAAGAACTTGGGGACAGAGGCAAGGAAAATCTTCCTTTTAACAGGTAGAAACCTTGAGCAGAACTATGACCCAGGATGGGCGACCATCTGCCTCGAAATCTACAGTTAAATTATGAATGCGATGCTATTGAGCAAGTCTGACTTTGAGATACTAGCTGGCTATTACACCATGTACAACATGTAAAAAAGAAGTGCTGCCATAAAGAGAGGGTGACCTAGAACAATGCTACGCCACATAAGCCATACATAACAGACAAGAAGGGGGAATGTCATTGTCCTCAACATACCGTAGAAGTGATAGATGAATTGTTCCACCTCTGGAGCAGTCAAACATTTCAGATCAAGATGGATCTCAGTTTGAAGTTTGACAGCTCTACACTTTTCTAAAGTATAATGTCACCTTGGTAGGGACAGAGAGTTGTGCGCTCTGGACTGAAACCATGAGCAATGTGTCCAACCCGAGACCTGTGCTGTGAGATCTATGGACCATGAGAGCTGATGGCTTAAAAGCAGGAGCTGCCACTTCCAGAAAAACAGATCAGCTGGGTCAGTCACCGTGGGCAGCCTGGACTCTGGCTAGAGGGCCAGGCATCCAAGCAGGAAGCTATGTCACACCTATGCACTGGTGCACTTCTACTGACAACCATGTATATTAGATTATCATTTTAGCCCTCAAACTCTGCTATGTACTTTGTGAGTTTTAAGAGATTTATGGAATAAAACTTGTCTGGAAGTGTCTAGACAACAATAAATAACATCTCTAGTGTTCAACTGGGCCTCATTCATAACACACACATATGGAAACTAGTTTCATCGTTAAAAGCAATTTTTCCTACCATGACAAAGCTGTTCTGCACCAATAGGTTGAGGGATTTATCTTGCAATACATAGTGCTCATAAAATCTCAGAGGCAAAGGGAATATGTCTGACCTAAGCAAAACCGCACCTTCAGAAGATTTAGATGAGCCTTTGAAAAGCTCCAAGAACACATCTTTAAAAAATAAACTTCAATGGGACTCTATCAGGGTGTGGAGAAGGAGGTTGAACAGGGATTGGGGCTGGACGCAGCAGCGGGAAAGAAAGGATGCGATTCTCTGCATGTCCTCTGGCCTGCCAGGGTGTAGACAGTGATTGACAGCTGGCGAGATGACAAGCACAACAGACCACGGGGAGAAATATGGCTGTCTACAGTAAACATCTCTCCGCTCACACTGTGCGACGGAAATAATAAGCACTTGAAAAGCACCTCCATGGTCAAAACCAAATACTGTCAGGATGGAGCCTGAAATATTTTGAAGTGTTTCAAAGGTAGATAAGCCAGTGGGAGAAGCCAGACACTGTGTGCTGGCAGGAAAGAATCTATAACAGGAGATGAAGGAAGCTCTAGACCTTCTTGTAAAGATTTATAAAGGCGTCATGGATTACACATACACTACACCTTTCAACAACACTGCCTAAAGATGATTTGCTGCAAAGGCTTGTGATTCATGGGGTTCTATGTACTGCACAGCACATTGTAACCCTGTTGAGAACAAAGTAGAGCCGCTCTGCATGATTTGCGGTCAGTAAAAAACACGTATCAGACTTCTTCAAAAGGGAAACTTGACTGACTGCTTTAAAAATTGACCTCAAATACAAAAGCCCTCTGTCATGATGACAGGCGTAACTTGCTCCTTATGGTGCTGTTTGCATCTTTTTTATTTCAGTGCCCTGTCAAGGCGATCCACAACCCTGTCATTTGTACCGCTAATGCGTGCATTTCGTGGGGTCTCTTTTCTTTCACCACTTTGTTCAAGCGGAGCGGTGTGAATAAACAGTGACACTTCAGAGGAAACTGCAAATCCTTGTGGCTCTCCGCGGGGAAGAGCGTGCAAAACCCCCCCGGAGAGAAGCTCAGTCCATCCAAGGGTCATTACCTAGCTGTGAGCAGAATACATAATGCTCGTACTGCCAAGATGAAAGGCCTCGGGAGACGTCTGCACCTTCTATTCCGCCGTGCATGTCCATCAGGGCCCGCAGCTCCATTCATCACTGCATTCATCATCGTTTAAACAAGCTTCCCGGGTCGTGACTCTATCCGGAGCGCCACATTGTTGACACCGAGTGGAGTACATAACTACATATTGACTCTCTCAAAAAGAGATTGGAGGATTGGAGGTTTGACTTTGCTTCCTACGAGTCCGTTGGCTTAATGAAAGACTCCATTGCAGAGCCCCCGGGATCGAGCAGTGTAAGCAGAGATTCTCCACAGCAGCTGGGACATCAAAGCCCAGACTACCACCTGTGAGGGGGTTCTGGAAATGAACACCCATATCGTGACATCTAGAGGACTCCTATAGGGAGTGGGAGCTAGGAGGTGGTGCTCGCTGGGCCCATCTGTCACACAGCCCGCCGGTAAACATACAGAGATGTGGGGACGGCCATGGGGAGGGTCACACACCTACCCTCTGTATGTTTGTAAGCAAACACAATTTAGCAGCCTGCTCATAGTATAAACAGCCAAACATATGGGCAACTAAAAACTACTGGCATAATCAAGTGATTTTATAATTCATTTTATCATTAATTTAAAAAAAAGAATTATCAGAGAATTACTAAGCTTGTCTATTAAACACGAGAGGCGACACTTGGTTTTATTTTTGTTGGCCAACTTTTGAATTGTACCTCAAACTGAGTATTTTTTGTTTGCTTACTGGAATACAGACAGATGGACTCCTAGGAGATTTGAACTGAGATAAGGACGCATTAATTGGTTGTTGAACTGTGGGTTTTGTATTGAGCGCTTACTTTATAACACACTGTATTAAACTTAGTTTTTCCTGATGATATTATATCATATTATTTAATGCCATGACTTGACTCAAATTATCTTTCTCATATTATTATTATTTTATATATCTTCTCCACCATTGCTCAATAATAATTCTACCTAATTCATCATAACACGAGAAAGAACAATATTCTGTTTTCTAATATTGTGTTGGTCATAGTATACACTGATTTACTGTTTGCCCTTTTTGAATAATACAGAAGGTAAAGAGCTTAAAAATGAATCGCAAATTAAATCGCTAAATAATCGCAATTAGATTATTTTCCAAAATCGTTCAGCCCTAACGCAACGCCTGCTCGTATTCCTTTGTGCTACTCAAAACTATAAAAAACACATGATCCACACTTTTGCTCCTTCATTACCTTGAACACACATGCTGCAGTTACACCGTCCAGCTGCCCCAAATACTCACTAGAGCACCAAATGTGGATTAATTCACAGCTGAAAATAGTCCCAAACAAATGTGTACATTTTGTTAAAAACTGACCAGCTGTTTCAGGAAATTACTGAGCTGTCAGTTACGATTTATATCTTCAGTAGAACTTGGGGCTGACAGCCACTGACAGGGCAGGGAAGTCAAGAAAGTATTGACAAACAGACTGACACGTTGTCAGTTTGGTCTTTTCATGAGATTTGTTGATGATTTGAAGTATAAACTACAATACCAGCCTTATCCTTTTAAAGTATATAAAAAGTATAACAAAATAAAAAAATACTTTGCCCATCATAAGTGAGCAAGACTCCATCTTCAGGTATCTTTTTTTGTCTAACAAAGATATTTATTAACAATGAAATTACACAGAGCACAACTATGGGGTAAATGCATGTAACACATGTGAGAGCAAACCTTTGGCTCTGCAATTAATCTTTTTGAGAACAAGAGAGCAAAACTGTATTTACTAAAAGGAAAACTTTCTTTTGATGGCAGCTTACCCGGTTTAGGTTATACTGCTCACACAATCTTTGTTCTCAAGTCAGCGCTTTCGCAAGTGACAGCTGCAAAGAATTACCAAAAAGTTTCTTAAAGGAGACCTATTATGCTTTTCCATATTTTATGACTTATCTACAATGTTACAATGTTGGATGTTCATGTTAAACATGGCCAAAGCTACAAATAATGAGGTAAAAGTATTAAAAGAAATTCTTTTGAGCCAAAACCTCAGATTTCCTTCCATTCTGAACGCTCTGTTTGGAACTGCTTTTTCTACCAACGGCTTCGTTTGACAACATACGGAGTTAGACGAAGCCGGTGTTCCATATATGGTAATTTGCTCTGCACAGCAACAGCACAGCAACGCTCAGTCTGTCTGTACCGCCCAGCAACAACAGCAGCCTGGTAACATGCTCCAGGTCTTGGAACATCTAAGGCCTACATGAAGGGCCAGTATAAGATAGAAAATGACACTGAATCATGCAAAGCTGCCATACAGGAGTCACAGAACTCCAATATAGGACTGGAAATGCAGTATAATAGGTCTCCTTCAAGCTATCTGCTGTGTTTACTTACAGTCATTCATAATGTGGCCTGCTTAATCCAAACATGTACTTACTCATTGACTAATTGAATCAGCACTAAAGCACTAACACAATCAATCCTCCAATTTATCTCTAAAGCTTGAAAATCTTTTTATTTCATACTTGAAAGAAACAATGAGTGGAGTAGGTATGATAAGAAAGAACACAGGCCCATTAAGCTGAACTCAGCAGAGACAATAAACAGTAAGAAAACATATTTTTTTGGTCATCAGCAAGCTTTATTGTAATTCTGTATTAATTAAGCCACCAATGATATAATGCGTTAAACTTATAACTTTATAATCTGCTCCAGTAAGATAACTATGTGTTGAGAAGTGAAGGTCTTACTGAGTGGCAGTAACAGAGGATGGTAAATAATTAGAGAGGAACAGGACGGTGAGGACAGAAGATAGAGAGTCAGGGGAGATGGATGATAAGATGGAGGGAGACTGACAGACAGACAGATGCTTGAAATGATATTTGGGTAAACTCTGGCCTCACCTTGACTCTCCCTGATTGATCACCATGTACATCTCCCAGGACATATTTTCAGCCACGGCTCCATGAGGCACCAGCAGGCTGACCCCTGGAAAACACACACAAATGTGTCAACAGCAACAACTCCAACAGCCTGACAGTGTAGGAGAAAAACAAGGCTTGTCTTTCATGCAGGGGTTATGGGAGTGTTATTGAGAGCATAATTTTACTCGAATGAACTGTGGCATATTAAAGAATAAAGTGAACCAAATGTAGGTGTCAAAATGAACTTTTCCAATATGACTTTTAGTAGAAATACATGATTATTTTCTAGAAATATAACAAAAACATTTAATATTTATCATAGCACATGCATACACTGACCATCACTGAATATAAAATACTTACACAGGATTGGACGCACACATTCACATCTATTGTAAGGGTTTCTGAATTTTGATTGGCTGTTAACAGTGACATTTGTTTAGGTTCTAGTATGTCAAATTGCTCTGACTGTCCTTTAAAATGAAACACTAAATGCATAGTTCGCCATCGCCCTCCAAAACCTATTAAAGTTACAACAAAATACTTATATGACTGTTTTCTGACCTGTTATGAAACATAATTGCTTGTTAGGAAACCTTCTTGGTTAAAAGAAAACAGCACTGACTGTTGGTAGAAAACAGGTTGTGAACAGCAATCTCCCATGCCAAAGTCACAAGCTTTGATCAGATCTTAAGTCAGATTTTTATTAATTTATAAAACGTTAAATAATTTCGCAATGTCCTACATTATTAAAGGAAACATCATTGGTAATAATTGTCACTGCGTACTACATTTAAAAGGTGTCACTCAATTCATGTTGGACTGCAGAAAGAGACTAACTGAAGATGTCAATTCATAACAACTTAATGTGTGAACAAATGAACCAGCACGTCCACAGCCTGCAGACACTCAGTAAGTATGTGCAATGTGAACGTCTGCATATTGATGCAGTGTTTTCATTGAGTTTTTCTTCATTTTGTCTGCTGAACTGAAAAAAAAAAAAACAGGCTGCAGTCCAGCTGAACCTGTGCCTGATTTGACACAGCACAGGCTCTAGCTGTTCTAGGTTTTAAACAAGTAATATAATCTACTACAACTAATCTTGATACTATTTGCATGCACAGTAAATTGTATTCTGTCATGTTGAATGCTTTTGTAAAATTTTCTTGACTTTTTCAGGTTCTAGTCAGTTGGAGTTGTCTTATATGTAAAGCACTTTTTGAATCCCCCGTGTGTGAAATGTGCTAAACAAATAAAGCTGTTTGCTAATTTTGTTAAATGTGTTTCACAATGTAAAAGTAATTCGCCAGTAAACCTTATTTATTCATTCTGACACATTTTTAATCATGAGTGTCAATGAACCGGTCTGAATAAATGGTGTAGGAGGAGTTTGCAGAAAACATTTTTCTTCCTCTCTATTTTCTCTTTTCATTTTCTTTTCAGTGAGGTTTCTCAAGCTACAAAACGACATCTTGCAAGTATTCATATGACATAGAAATCACAGGGGAAAATTTTTTTTTTTATATTGTCAAATATCTGCCTGCTACTGTAGGTACCAGGTTTAAAAGAAACTCAAGACACACAAGAGTGCCTGCTGAATTTTGCTTGGCTCACTGCAGTGATGTTCTCTCACCGATCAGACTGACGTCATAGATTTGGGTACGCCTCAAAGTCAATTCATTCTCTCTTTAGTGGTTTGTCTCCAGTTGCATCAGTATCAGACATACATAGATGGAAGAACCAGTATTTGATTCAAGTTGTAAACAGAGTTTTTCTGACACAATCCAGAAGAATTAAAACAGCATTTCTATTAATTCTGATCTCCCAACCAGCAACGCTTGGTACACTTTTCATCATGCAATATCTTTCAAAAAGCAAGTGGAGATTTCTGCTGAGCAACACCGCCCAGCCACTGTTGCCTGACACTATTCATTTGCCTCTGAGCGACTGGAGAAGCATTCATATTGAAGAGAAGAGAGCATATAAAAGCCCTGCTTTACAAATAAAACGTTCAGAGGAGCAGAGTGGAAGATGACAGATAAAGAGGTTTTTGGCAGCTTTATAGAAAGGGAATATTTTGTAATACCTCAGCCATCTCTGAAATGTGCATTTTAACCAGTTTGTTTTCATTAAATAAACATTATGTGTCACATGCTGGTGCAGACTGAAATAACTAGGTGTGAAGTTTCTCACTCAACAGTAAGTCAAATACAACTGGATTTCTCGTGTGGTTAAAAGTTAAAAGTCTTGCACTAACAAAAAAAGAAAAAGAAAATTCACTTCTCAACAGCTGCCGTGAGAACTCAAAGCACTGTAACGTCAGTATGTGCAAAAAAACAAAGAATGTTCCTATTTTGGTGCTATATCACTAAGGTGAGGAGAAAGCTTCGGTAATCTGCAGCGAAGTGCTGCATATGGCCGGTTATTCAGTCTAATGAATAGCGGTCCCTGCAGACAGGCTGTGTGAGTGCTGCACTTCACAGCAGTGACTCCTCAACTCAGACCCTCAGCCTGAACGATGACCGCGGGAGGCTGATTTCACTTCACCCCTCCACACCAGCCGAGGACCACAGAAGAGGGCTGTAAGTGCAACGCTACGCACGGACTGTTGACCTGCTGACAACTGGAACGGCCCATCCAAACTCCTCCAATTGCTCCATTTGTGTAGGCGTGACGTGACGACAGCGTGACCCCTGTTTGCCCGAGAGAACCTGCGAGGATGTGGAGGGATAACAAACAGCTACCTGTCTTGGCAACGGCAATGGTGGATCTTAGCAACAGCTTACAATATATAGTGTCTAATGAGTGTGTAAGTGCACTGGTAGTTGTGATATAGTAAGGATGTCTTACCGAAACTCAAACTTAGACAGGCCGAGTTACACTGTTAACACTTGTGTACATGCCTTATTATTTTTTCACACATTGCATTTTTAGTATGCTTTATATTTATTTTCATTTGTATTTCTTTTACTTTGGCATGTATTCATGTTGTATGTGTGTTCATGTACAGTACATGCATATGTGCTGATTTACGTTCTAACTGAAGGTTCGAGCAAATGATTAGATATGGACACCATTGGGGAGCTTAAATCATTAATGATTATGCATTACACAGACCAAAAAGAGATACTCTGTTCTATTTAATCTTATGGTACAAACAATAGAAAACTGAAAAACAAAAAAAGACAAATTTTTGTCAGTGGAATGATCACAGATTTGCTCAATGTAAGTACAGGAGCACCTGGAGGATTTGTTTTTTCTGTCCTTCTACTATTCCCCATGTAAACAAATGAATTTATGATTAAATAAGGATTTTTTGCTTGTTTACTTAGTCCTGCTACAGATGACATTGCCTTTTAAAGAAAACCAACACCTTCAGTGAAGCTGTGAGCTCTTCCAAAGTAGTGCTTTGAGGATTATTGTTAGTAACGCTAAATGATTGGGCTGTAACTTCCACTGAGGACACCAGTGGCATGTCCTCTGTACTGTGTCTAGGAACTTGAGAGTTTTAATAACCCAACCAAGAAGAGGTTCCACTTTATACATATATCCAAATGAAAAAAATCCACTTTGTTAAGACTATTTATAGTCTTTCAGGAAGCCACAGATTTGGATCTGTTTTTTAGCAGCTTACCACTTTCTAAAGCTGAGACAAGTTCACTGTACCACTTTTGTGTGTTCGCTGTCAAAACACAACAATAAAGGACACACGCAGCACACCGAAAAATTGGTGGAAAATGTAAGATGCTTGCGAGACATTCTGGGACGGCTGCAGCTCATGCTCAACAGCACTGGCTTATGATGGCTACTATAATGAGAAGTTACTGCAGCCTCTCATTACGGACACCGAGTACCCAGTGTGCGAGCTGCTTTTCATTATCAACACCAAAAATAGATTGAGGCAGTGCTTTTTCTGCTAACAAACTCAGTCTGCGTTTGTGTCTACTTTTTTGTGAAGCTTACCAGTGTTTGGCACCACCAGCCGCCCTCCGGGGTAGCCGAACACGCCGGTGGTCTTCAGCTGCTCTTTGCAGGCGCTGAAGGGCCCGTTGAGGGTGAGCAGTCCCTTCTTGCGTCCATCCGCGGTACTGCAGTAGTCCCGGCTCAGGTCCCGCGGGAAGGTCTCGGCCGGGACTTTGGCATGGAACTCTGCCCGTTCGGCCACACCTAGTGAAACCATAAAGGAGCTCTGAACTTTGACCTTGATGTCTGGCAGGGGGTCAAAGAGCTCTTTGTCTGCGCTGTCCTGGAAGCAGAGCGGAGTGCTGTATGTTCGTCCCACTGTTAAGTCGGGCTGCATCGAGGAGTTGAGAAGCAGTGGGTTGCCTACAGAGAGGACAGACAGCATAGCCACACATTCACCTAAAAGCGCTGCCCGCATGGGACTTGCATTATGTAGAGAACTTGTTAACTTAATGAATCAAAGCCCGACCTCTGTGTGTCCTGAACAGCACTCACTTGGGATAATGAAATTCACTAGCATCCCTAATACAGCTAAATAAGGTCAAGATCGGGTTATGTTTTTTTCTTTTTTTGTCATTTCTTGATATAGAAAAAAAAGTTGAAATTTTATAAAGCTAAAAAGTTGAAAAAAAACATACATGACATTTTTGTCATTTTTCATGACAGGAAAAAGATAAAAGAAGAAAGAAAATGTGCCACCCAGTTTCCATGGATTAAATATTATCAGGGCATTTCTATCTGCAGCCTATACAGAAGATTACTCTACAATATTATTTTACAAAAAGCAGACATGAGATTAAAATCACCTTCAATCTACAGAATTAATAGAGTACAATTCCTGGATGTCCTCAGGTAACAGCAATTCAGTTTTAAGAGCCACATCTCTGGACTCTTTCCACTCACATTTCCTGCAGCTGACCAGTGAAGCTCCAGCACCAATTAAAACAACATGTCCGGGCAGGCGACCAGTGCATCAGAGGTAAGGGAGCACAACCTGGACAGAAGGTCCAGGGCTCGGCGTCACGGTCAAAGCATTAGATTTAATTACCAAGCACACACACAGCTTGATCTCCATAATCCATCTGCTGGAGTCAGCTCCTCTGGACACCGAGTCGTCCTCCTGAAGGACAGGAGGGAGGGCCAGGAGGGGTGTAGGTGACTGCTCTGTAAATGAGGGGAGTCCTTCAGTGTGGACCCAACAGCCTGTGGAGGGGGCTCTTCATCTGTGGCCATTAGATGTGACGGCGCTGCCAAAAAGAGTGAGGAGCGCGCCGCATCGATCTGGCAGACTCAGACATGCGGTGCCCCTGGGCGAGCCGTGCCAAGATAACACCGAAGTCACTGAGTCCTTGCTGCCCAGCTGTTGCCTGGCGAGGGGTGCAAGGCGGGAGGCTAATGTTGTTTTATTTTTAGGGAAATCGTTAATTACCGGGGGCGTGATTTGTGATGAGCTTTCTGGGGTGTGTTGGTTTTGACTTGTTCTTCAAAACTCAACTTTTCCTTGTTTTTGTCTTCTTAGCATTCTAAAATACAGAACATGACCAGAAATGTATTCACATTTTAGTAACTGTGCTGCCCCTCCTATACAAAGTGAATTACAGTGAGTGGGGCTGCAACTAATCAATGTTTTCATTATTAATTCATCTGTTCATTCTTTTTTTCGACTAATCTGTTAATCATTAAGTCTAATACACCTTTCACACCAGAGTTTCAATGTGCAAATGTCTTTAGCAAAGTGCCAAACTGACTTACTTCCTACTTTCACACACAGCATGCTGTCCTTACATACAAAGTGCACTACACTAAATGTTCACTCCTCAGAATACAGTTTCAGTGCTTGTTACTGTGTGTACAGCTCACAGAAACTGTGCAGTATTTCTCCTTATTTAATTACCGTGGTGAGCAAGCATTGCTAATTACTGTATTTAGAAGTTTAAACCTCTCATGTTTGATGTTGCTGTGAATAAAAACCACAATCCACCAACAGTTAACTGGTGGAGTTCAGTGCTAACCTCGGTAACCCAGCTGTGATTTAACCATAACATAGATTCCTTATTAGTTAGCCTCTAAACATGCTTGCTAATAACTTTTTTTAAGGTGGATCTCCACACTGACAGCTTTATGTTGTGTGCAGCGGTGTTCATAAGAGAGAGAGGGAGCGACCGAGATGAGGTGCTGAGAGAATATGCGCGCTGCCTGCAGCTCTGCAGTCAAACACGATTTTAAATAGGCCTTGTAAAGAAAAAAATCAAAACTCAATATGTGGCGGTCAGCGTTGGTGCTGTGACGGGTCACTGGACTGGAGTGATGCTCCGGCTCGGACAGTTAGGCGCAGTGTGAGCGCAGGCCAGCAAGGAAGTGGTACAATCGTGCTCAGGCACGGTACAAGGCAAGCGGACCTAGTGTGAGTACGCCCTTAATTGAGAGAAATTGATTTACAGTTGCTTAATTTCATTACTTATCTGTACAACAACAACATAAGGATCACATTTAAATAATTATACTAGGCCTATTGTAGAAGAAGAACATTTTGTCGCTATAATAAAAGTTAAAAGCAAATTCTGCATAATATCGTGTTGTTTTTAGTTCCGCTCCTGGATATAGAGCCTGGCTGAACTATTCTGGATTCTGCTCTGGACCTGCTCGGTTCAGCCTCCCACATTAGGGACTCTCAGCTACGGCTCCCCCCTGCTCTGCACAGCAACCACCAACCAGGTTTTGCAGCATCTGGTCTTACAGCCTGCCTCGATCTTCCTCGGCTCAATATCCGATCCCTTCAACCCTGCAATAAATATTCCTCTTTTATCTAACTCCAGTCTCCTCCTCCTCCGCAGTCCTGCACTTTGGTCTCCTAGCATTAACAAAGGAAAGGTAATAATAACTTGCTGTTTTAGTTAGCCTACGCTATAAGAATAAAGACACAGAGCGCACTTTCTCTGTGTCCCTCTCTCTCACACACAGACAGTGACTTACTCACTCATTACTGCTGTTTTTGCATGATGTATGACTTCATTTGTTTTTATCTGTTAAGGCCAAAAGAGGGAGTACAGCATTTTGTGTTATGAGTTTAGCATATTGAAACTCAAAGTAATCGTTAAACACTGTAAATGTCAGGAAATAGGGAAAATCCCAGTCACAGTTCACCATGAAGGTTTCATCGTCCAGTGTCTGGCCAACAGTGCAAAACCCAAAGCGAAACAGTTGTCCTTGGAAGATTTATCGATTATGAAAATATTTGGCCATCATTTTCTGTTGATCACCAAATCCACTGATCTACTAATCATTTCAGCCCTAACGGTGGATAAGGTTCATTTCAGCTTCCAGTATTACATCATTGCAGGGTTTGAGCCTAAACTAAAATAATGTTCCATGAAAAATGAAAAGATGCATTTTTCATTTTAAACAGTTTAATAGTGACAGAGAACCTACAAGCGACTCTGCAGATACTCCAGCTCTCGGTCAAAGCTGCAGCCCAGTGGACATTACCCTTCTGCAGCTGACATTCGATCACTGGCAAAATTTTCTCCCCTCCGGTCGAGTGGAGAATGATCTGATTATCGCTTGAGTGTGCATCTTTAAGAATGGCGCAGCGAAAATGGAATGGCAGTGGTGAGATGAGAGAAGTTAATGAAATGTACCTCAGGTTGAATACCTTGAGGGATAGGTTTGGAATTGGGCCTCTGATTAAAAATCACTCAGAAGGAGAAGTAATGTGGAGAGACAGGGTCAGGTCCGAAGACTCATTCAGCAGTCTGCCTTACAGCCGTTCCGGCTGTGGAGAGCCATCCGAAAGCATTTAAGTACTTCTTTCAGAATTTAAGTTTTTTTTTCTTGTGATTAATACGCCTGAAAAAGCTACTGATTTGCGATTAAACACACACCTTTAGAGGAGTTCCCCCCTAGAGGAAATGCTTAATTTCCTGCTATGTTTATGGCAAGGATGGTAAAATGTAAATGTAAAGCAACACAATCAGGTCAGAAGTGGGCTAATACGCCACAGCAACTTCCTCCAAATCAAACTGCGGCTGAGGAAGTGTTTTAGATTTCATGGGGAGCCTTGACCGGGCTTGATAGAGAGGAAAATGGAAAGGAGTGATTGTGGCCGGTGGAGGGCACAGCAGGCAGGCTGCGGAGAAAGCTGGCCTATTTAAATAGGATTGATGACATGCTGAATGTAGACCCAGCTGAAGCCACCTCCCAGCCCCCCTTCTTTTCCTCACATGCTTCCAATCGCGTGACAAGGGTGGAGCTTGACCGACTCCCCGGGCCTTGGGGGAGCGGGGGGCACAGCGTGGGCTCTGGCAGGGCTTCTCGCTGCGCTGTCAATGCGGCGGCGAGGATGGATCACCCCTCGCCACGATGGCTATCACTTGCGCTAACCCAGAAGTGTCAGTGACAGCAATATGAATGCCTGTAGCAAGGCTGGCCGGGACAGCCGCAGTCACATAACCAACAGAAGTTATTGCTGTGCACAACAAAAATTGAATTGATGTTCACTGTTCCATACCCCTCACATTTATCCATCAGTGGTTTAGGCCAGTGTAATCTGATGGAAGAGATTGGTTGCCTGACAGTCAAATGTGTGGTCCGCGGGGAGGGGGTGAAGCAGCGCCGGTCTCTATCAGAGATTGATTATCTCCTACTTCACAATAACAGAGGAGCAGGTCTGTCAAAATAGAAGGACAGGTCCTTTCACTGATTATGGAGGTATAAATCCTAAGCAGATAGGGAGGCTGCACGCCATTTTGCTCGATGCAAACAACTGCCATCAATCAAGGGGGCGGCCCTGTGTGAAAGGTCTTTGATGACGCTGCCTTTTGGCCTTGTGGTTGTCAGCACATGTCAGCGCGGAGCTGAGGGCACTCTCTCTTACCTTGTCTGGTGGTCTTGAAGTTGAACGACTGGAAACCCCCGGCGAGCGCAGAGGAGTCGATGACGTCCACGCCATATTCACTGTGGTTCTTCCTGTACAGCATGACGGCCACTACAAGGATTGCCACAGCAATGATCCCGGCTCCCAGGCCCGAGTACAGAGCTACGTCATTGGAGCTGTCCATACCTGAAGCACACGGGACACATGGAAAAGGAGAGCTACAGTAAATTCTCATTTTAAAGCAAATATTCAAATAATTTGAGTCTCCAATAATAGCCGGGGGCGTGGCCAGCTTGAACAAATACAGGCTCGTCACTAATAAAGTCTAGGTAAAAAACACACTGAAGCAGGTGGATTTAACTGTAAACAGTTTACATGGTAAAATCTAGTATAATGTCCATTTCCGCAGCACCAATTCAATAAAATTCATAGATTTCTTCTTTGTCGCACAGGTGATGGGCTGAATGAAGTCTTTTATGTCTCCAGAGAGACCCTCACAAAATCTGAAAAATTGCCACTTGAGTCAGCATTGGACTGGGATGAAGAATATATCACTTTCAAATTATTATTATTTTGATTGCTTGATATTTATTTTATATATAATTGTTTTGTTTTTACATTTGATACTGATTTCTTTCTTTTTTTTAAATTATTATTATTATTATTTTTAATCAATAAATTATTTTTTGTATTTTTGTCTATTAATACACACACACGTTTACAGTATTATGTATTTATTTTATTTTTAATATATTTTTATTTTTTAACACACACACACACACGCTTACTGTTTTATTTAATTTATTTAATTTTAATTTTTAATATATTTTATTTTTTTAACACAAACACATGCTTTAATTACTTGTTTAATTAAATGTATAGGGTTGATTGTTCTTATGTTGTATGTATGATGCTTTGGCAATATTGTTGTTACACATTCATGGCAATAAAGGTAATTTGAACTGAATTGACTACAAGTTTGAAAATGAAGAATTTCTTCAGGTGTGTCGTTAGAAAGAAGGGAGCTCTGTAACTCCTCGTCTCTGCTTGAGGCTAATAGCTAGCATTAGCCACTACTAGCATAATACAAACTGTCTGCTGGCTGTCGAGTTGTGGGTAATGCAGGTGAAACATAAGGGTGCGTTAAACGTTTCATGTGAATATTCTGGGTGTTGATTTGCATTCATGCTTTTTTGGGGGTAATATGCATCTCTTACTGTTGGAATAATGCTGTCGAAATGTACATTATAGTGAATTCAAGACAGCGGGTAAACATGGATGAACTTCTGAGTTTGCATTAACTGGAAAAAAAGGAAAATGATATATAAAGGCCACATAAAACAACCTTGTCTCTGTTGTATTAATAAAGACCCAGAAACAGTGAGGAGAAGATGGAAGGAAAGCAGTGGAGACAATACTGTTATTATGTAGACATTCAAGGTCAACCACATGCAGGAGTTGCAATGTGTTACACTGACTCCAGCATGGAAATGAAATAAGAAGGATGGAAAGTGGTAAGATGGAGCAGACCATCTGTCTTATCTCTCTATGCTACATTATGCACCACAGATACGAATAAATGAACATGTCCAGCCGTTACTCTAAACTGTTACATATCACACCCAAGCTGCTAACATAGAGGGGTGATTAGCCTAACTGCCTTTAGACCCGCCAGTCTATATCCAATAGCTATCATAGATATCTCACAGTGCAGGCTATCAAAGGTCATGCTGTGTAGCCCGTGGTCACCAGTCGTCACAAGGACCAACCAGAGGAAAATTGATTGATTGAGTATTCCTACCAGGGTGATCACTTGCCAGACACCAGCTCAGTGCACTCCTGGTTCAATCATTCAAGCTTTTCTTAAAGCCTGCAATAAGCACGTCTTTTGCACTAATGTGGCAGGCTACAAAAAGCACTCAAGCTAGCACCTGACAATCACTTAGTTGGGCAAACTCCGACAAGTGATTGAAAGCCGCCACAGGAATGTGAGGGCAGCGCTGTAAATTGGTCAATTTAGCTCGTTTGCAATGATTACAACCCATTAATTCTCCACAACATAGCACATGTTCACTTGTCACAACCAATATATCTCCTGGCTCAAAGTAGAAACACAGCTGTGATGTCACGGTTTTCATAAAAAAAGTCAGGCACTGAGTAATGACATGAATGTGTAATGAGCACTTGCTGGGTTAAAACAGGAGTTGCTCAGATCAAAGTGAACTAAAAGGTGGTAATTCATTATGTTCCTGTTTCCAGTGTATACTGAGAGAATATAAACCACTGCACTGTCACTACTTTCTTTGCTAACTTTAAACTTAGAATATATGATCTCTTGTCCCCAGAATTCAGGGTATTACATATTAGCGGCAGGTGTGTGTGTGTGGGGGGGGGGGGTTGAAAGATGAAAGAAATCCACAGAGGAAGACTCACTTTGAGGTTTAACGTCATGTAGCAGCTTTCGATCTGCAAAGACAGAGAGATAGAATGAGACAAAGAGGAGAGAAAGTGGTGATTAAAGTCCGAGCGTCTGTGAAGCGACTAACAAGTGTGGTCTCAGATCCAAAATCCTGAGTAGAGAGAAGCTCTTCTGCTGACTGTGCTAATGGACGATATACAGTATCTGATAAATAGCTAGGTAGGCATCATTACTGTTCTCATTTCACCATAGATAAAGGTGGTGCGGTGCCAACTGCTCAATGGCTTGGAAATGCCTTTGAGTGAGCTAATATTCTCCTAACAAGTCCAAAAAACAAGTTTGATTTATTTAAGAGGGATGAAGTTGCACAGTTTTCTCCCAGACTTTCTCCAAATGTAGGTTATGGAAACAAAAATTTACTTTTGTTTCTGACCAGTATTGGGGTGATTAAAATTGTTCCTTTTGTCTATGGAACAACTTTGAATCCAGTGAATAGTATGGACACCAGCATGCAGAGAGCAGACAACAGCCAAGACTAACATTTTGTAGTTTGGCTAACTCAAAGAATTAATGTTAATTAGCTATATAAATTTAGTGGGATAGTTATCCTAATGGAGGAACTTTTATTGAACCCTACAGCTTGTTTTGACTTTAGGTCAAGTAAGAGATGTGCCTCTAGTGATTTGAAAATTGCACTCTTCAAATCACAGTTTTAATTTTTTGTTCAGCCACATAGTCTAGTGCTCACACTAGTGAGTAAAACATTCTGAATGTTAAGTCCTTGCATGAACCAAACAGTGCAATGACATTTCATTCCAAACGTCAAGCATCATTCAAGAAAGAATATCTGCCGTCTGTGAGATTCAGTATGACATATAATATGTCAAGTGAGCGTCACACAGGAGATAGAGTGCTGATATTATGATGCACTGGGCATCTGTGTCAAAACTCAGCGTGATGTTCACACCTGCTCAAACATGCTTGTGATGATTTGCCATGTTACATAGAGTGTATGATGATGATAATGATAGGACAATAATGAGAATGATGATGATGATGATGATGATAATGCCCAGCAGGGGAAAAAGGCCTTACTCTGGGTACACAATCCATCTGTGCAGTTCTCAGTGGCCTCACTGTTCCCTTCGCACATCTTGCCTCGGTGTCTGGGTGCTGGGGAGTTGCATTCCCTACTCCGCTGCCTCTCGCACTGACTGCTGCATATGGTCCATTCGCTCCACTCGTCCCAGCCTCCATCGACTGTAACATGAGGACATACAAATGTGGACAAAGAGATTTACAGACGTACTGCATGTGTCTGCACACATACTAAAAATGCAAACAAGAAGTCAAGAAAAAGTAATTTGAGGAGGCAGCTCAACTATGTCAAAAATGTCACAGCTTAAGTAACATTCATGTTGAATATCTTTGGAGATATTAGCTTTTTTTCAGTGAAAAGATTGATATCAACCTCTTGCCCGTATGTTCAGTGAATGGCTTGACCAGATTGACCAAGCTTAGCGAGTTAAGACTGGAGGCAGGGGACACAGCTAGCATGCTAAATTCCCGGAAATTCTTATTTTTACATTAAAACGAGAAATACAGAGTTCATTAACCATCTTTCACAATGTGGGTAGCTAAATTTTTAAATTTTGTTCAGAGCCAGGCTAGCTGTTTGCTGACTCCTGTTTGCTTAAACACATTTAAACTAAACTTAAATACATTCTGACTCCTGTTCTTACTTGTTACCTGTGTTAACCTATCTCACTTTTTAAAAGAAAGCATATAGCCTGAGCACATTTCTCAACATATCAACCTGTTTCTTTGAGATAAATGCCTCCTCTTTCGATTTGGTGCTATATCTACACACATTAAACACTTAAATATGTTCTTAGTGGGCACATACACACACACACACACACACACACACACACACACACACAGCACACGCACATACATACACACACTCAGTGAGACACACAATACACAGGTTGATGTGGTGGTAACGTTACAGCTTGACAAACATTTTCTCCCCATTAACCCCTGGGCCTGTTTATATAATGGGATTTGATACACGGATATGAAACCAAGACAGCCTGGTGCATGCTAATAGCTGGGGTTCCTCCACTATGCTCTGTCATCTGATCAAGGAAGAGCTCATCATGCTTAGCTTAACAAATATTGGGAGACCATATGGTGCCTGAAGATTTATTGGCAGCAGTTGCGATGCCCATAATATAGCCTTGTGGGTGGTGGAGAAGGTAATTTTCTTTTGCAATGTTCCATGGGCTTACCTACACCCTGCATTTCTTTGTAGTTTCTTCTCAGCTACTTGAAATGCAAACGATGTGTTTGTATGTTGGAGAGAGAATGTTGAGTGCTTCTGAGTTTGACCGCAATTGCTGGTGAGTGTATGCATATTGTTTCTCCTGACAGCTCCTGATGACTTGTTCCCCTGAATAAGCTCATCTGCCTACTGGTAAACAATAGATACAATCTGACAAACTGTAATGACTGCCAAACTCTTACTTTTCATAATTTTCATAATAATTTTTTTTGGCTCAGTCTTCATGTCTAGTTTCTTAAATTGGCTAGACACCAGGTCCTAATTAATTTGTTTTAGTGAAATCTTTGCAGCTAAGTAGACGTCACTTTATAATTTTGTGCCCCTTTCTTTCTTGATTCAGCCAATTGTTCCAAACACACCAGAGGATTTTGTTTCTATAAAACAACCTTCAAAAAAAGCTGTAAATGTATTTTTATTTTTTATGAACTTGCTATAGGTTTAGCCCCTGCCATGTTACATAAACTGGGAATAGATAGATAGAAACCAATGGATATTTATATAACAGCATACAAAATTGCAAAAAAGATTGTTAATTCAGCTTTAAGATCGAACATAACTGTCTTGGCTTCAAGCCTCTGCCCTGGCTTCCTGGTTTTACTCAGTCTTATCAAGTCTGTCTGTACTGTGTGCATGCAGAGCCCATCGAAGAAACATCGTTGACTGTTTTATCTCTTTAAGCTACAACACCATGATCTTTAAAATCTAAAGAGTCAAACTGAGACGGAAAGATTGAACACACGTCATAAAACCATAGGTCAAAGTCATCTTGTATAATTCTTCCCTGATCTGTATATAATTTAAAAAAAACAAAGCAAAAGCTGTCATTTTGTTGCACTACTGTACAACTTTATTGTCCCATGAATCCAATATAAAGATCAAAAAACGTAAATTATAACTATAGTAAATAATTAAAGCCCTGTATAAAACGTCACTTCAAAAGGTGGAAAACCTTTTTGGGGATATTTTCAGGTGCCTATTTGGTGTGTTAGAGAGTATTTATATGTGAAAGACAGCTGGAATCCCTCAAAGTAAACCACAATGTCCATGTTCGTTGTTAAGAGGGACCATGTCACCAAGTGGATTCGTGCAGCTCAATTAATGTACTGACTATTTGACTGTTGCAGTTACAGGATGAGTGCACAAATCACTACTTCTTTTCATCTTTGACACATGTCTTGCAACTCTACACTTCAGAGGGCAACAGGATGATGATTGATATGTGTAAGAAATCTCAATTTACTATAAAAAAATATGGTAAACGATTGTGTTAATGTCTATCTGTGCCATGCTAAAATGGTAGCACAAGAAGAGAAGAGTCAAAAAGTCAGCTGACTCTCTCAGCAATGTCAAAGACACAGCGACATCTACTTAAAGTTTGCTATTATTAGCCACCATAAACCACTGGTCATACCAAACCAAATCAGTTACTGCCACTCTCAGTACGAGAGATTATGGTAGCTGGTTAGGTTTAGATGTCATTGCCACAGATACACAGTGGGACTACATGGTACACAATCTGTATTTGGCTTAGTTTTAATCACCTGTTCTCCACTAGCACTTTAGTCTCCCCAAAATGAGCTTCATTTCTATCAGTATTCTCGTCTCTCTTTGCTGTTTCTTGTTAAGTGGCTATCTGCCTTGTCATGGTGCCGGCCCCTGACCTCATCCATCCTCCATGCTCTCCCTGCACTCAAACCATCATTAAGACAATGTTCTGGGCTGGCTTGTCAAAACTGGAAGGGCTTGTCAGTCAGCAGCTCAGGCAGCCTACACTTCACTCCTGTCTGCATATCCTTCCTCCCACAAAGACATGGATCAACCCTGATAACACCCGCTTTCCTCCCTGCTGCATCAGTTACTTCAGTCATTCTGTGAGGCCTCCAGGTCATGGTGGTGGCACAAGTCTGCTTATCTGTGCTTAAATCCGTATTCCTCTTCTTTTGTACTGAATTATTTTGAACCCCACACTGCAAACATAACCCATCCTCCACCTACTCTTAAGGCTGCATTTAAGGTTGACAGCTTTAATTGGCAGTGAGAGGCAGCTAGTTGAATACTTCTGTACCCGCACATTAGTCAGGGTCTAGAAATTCCATTTTTTGTTTCAGACTGCAAGCCAGAAAGTGAGTTTTGAAAGCCATACATTGGAGCACCTTTAAAAGCAAAAGCTGAGTTATTGTTATTGATCCCACCTCATCAGAGTTTTTCCTGCACAGAAGTCCAAGGCAGCTGACAGTGTCATTTTCTGTGCCACCTTCATAAAAAGATGCATATCGCTGGAAATTTTAACTAGAAACTGTGTAGGTGCATAAATAAAGCTTGGGTGTAAAAGTTGGGAAACCACGATCCGATTTATTTCCCAGATCTACTTTTTTTTAGTAAGGTATTTGAGGAAAACACAGACAGCACCCAAAAACTTGTTCCTGGCCAGTGAAATGGCTTTATGTATACAATTTATGGATACAATTTGCCTTTATCCTGACTGTAGTAGGGGCTTGTTAATTACAAGGTAGTCACGCCCTACAGCATACCCTGCTTTATCATCTATTTTCCTCTAATTTACTAATTGAACATCATGCTGTATTGAAGAAGACTTTAAACTAGAGATTGAGACCATAAACTCATTTGAAAAGTGTTTACTGAGGTAATAAATCAAGTGAGAAGTAGAGTCATTTTGTCATTGACTCGACTGCAATAAGACTTTTTGCAACCAGTGGAAAATGTATTATGTCATGCGCAGCACGGTGGCCAAGACCATACAGAGATTCAACAGGACAGGTTTCACTCAGAAAAGGCCTCACCAAGGTTGACCAAAGAAGTTGAGTGCAATCCAGAGGGTGTCTTTGGGAAATAGACGTATGACTGCTGCCAGCATTGCTGCAGAGGTTGAAGGGCTGGGGGGTCAGCCTGTCAGGCTGTCGTCCCAGAAGGAAGCCTCTTGTAAAGATGATGCACAAGAAAGCCCGCAAACAATTTGCTGAAGACAAGCAGACTAAGGACATGGATTACTGGAACCATGTCCTGCGGTCTGATGAGACCAAGATAAACTTATTTGGTTCAGATGGTGTCAAGCATGTGTGGCAGCAACCAGGTGAAGAGTACAAAGACAAGTGTGTCTTGCCTACAGTCAAGCATTGTGGTCTGGGGCTGCATGAGTGCTGCCGGCACTGGGGAGTTACAGTTCATTGAGGGAACCATGACTGCCAACATGTACTGTGACATACTGAAGCAGAGCATCATCCCCTCCCTTCAGAGACTGGCCCGCAGGGCAGTATTCCAACATGATAACGACCCAAACACACCTCCAAGACGACCACTGCCTTGCTAAAGAAGCTGAGGGTAAAGGTGATGGACTGGCATGCATGTCTCCAGACCTAAACCCTATTGAGCATCTGTGGGGCATCCTCAAACGGAAGGTGGAGGAGCTCAAGGTCTCTAACATCCGCCACCTCCGTGATCTCGTCATGGTGGAGTGGAAGAGGACTCCAGTGGCAACCTGTGAAGCTCTGGTGAACCTCACTTTTGTGAGACACTGGAGATAGATAGGTCGGGAGTCTCTACAGGGTGTTTTATTTTGAAAACTGACTTAATTCTCTATGCTGTTCTGTGACTTCCTGCCTGGTTCGATCTGTTCTGTGCTGCTCGATGCGGCTGGCGGTAAAAATAGACCTGCCAACTATTCTCTGCGGAGCGGAGAGGAGATGCGCTTCTGGTACGCGCTGCGGCCTCATCTGGTGGACTAGAAAGCATTGAGTATAATGGCCGTGATTAGCTCCGGCAACCGTGGCGCAGCTGTAATGCGCCGTAGCCTGATTTTACTGAACATAGACTGTTTATGCTGCTCCCTGATAAAAGAAAAATGTTTCTGATACCTGTTCAGCAAAACGGATTTACATGTGTTAACCTGTTGCTCAGAAGGTGCCTGTTATGATCGTGGCTCTGGACAAGCTAGATAAAAGGTAATGCCCTGGCAGTGGCAAATAGCTTTGGTTTTATATTGTTGTTATAAGTTGAGATTTACAAGAAATATTTTATTGCTACTGTGCAAAGGGAATACTGCTGGTAAAAAGCACCTTATTTGTTAGCACTTTTGTGTATGTAGCAGTACATTTAAATTAAAGTGCACAATACACTACTTTAGAATAACAATGCGATTAATCGCAGAAAATCATGCCATTAATCGCGATTAAAAATTTTAATCGTTGCCCAGCACTGTGTATTTTGCATCATAATTCTCCTGTTCTTCTTTTTCTCTCTCTAGCAGGATCAGTCCAGTGGTGCAGGGATATCAGTTCACAATGGCTCTGTCCCTTGCAGTCTTTATTATTGGGTATCTGTAATGCTCATGAGGTGGGAATTTAAGCCTATTCAAGTCAGTTAAGTCACTCTGGATATCAGCAAGGGACATATGTCATGACTGACATGTTAATGTGGGCAACATGCTGTAATAGTGCAAAGTGCCTTAAAAAGACCTGGCAGCACAGGATGTCATCTAAAAACATAAATGAAAGGAAAACTGTTCCAGATAATTAACAATTAATAACTTGTCTTCCACTAATATAATTAGTAAATGAAATATGAAGATTGTTTTGTCATTTTTGGCAGCCTGTCGTAATCTTTAAATATTCAGCTTAATGACTCTCAGACAAGCATTAATAACTTTTGACACCTAGAGAAAAGTAACTTGTGAGTGTGATGTTTCTATACAGAAACTCAGAATTTAAGTGGAACTGACTTGGGCAGAGTGCGTTGCAGGTGATCTTCTGTACAGACATGCCCTCGCAGAAAGCCCCGCCATTGAGAGGCGCCGGGTTAGTACAGGTTCGAGATCGCTTCTGGACACCTCGCCCACATGGCACATTACAGGCCGACCACTCCGTCCACAGGGACCAGCCGCCGTTCACTGTAGGGAGTTCAACAAAGTCAGAGAAGAAGAGGAAGTGTGAGTGCACAAAACACACATTGCTTTTCTAGAACTCTGGCATAGTTAAATACTACCATTACAACAGAAGCTGGGGTTATTAATGATTATGCAGGCTCCGAGGCACCGCAAGGCAACAATGCATAACGGCTGGAGCAGATTGAGCACAGCACATTCATTGTGGTGGATATACAGCTCCCTCTTTCCTAATTGCCAGTTCAATGTTCCCTGCACTTGGATTAAGATAAAGACGTGGAACTGTGTGAAAGCAAAGAAAACAGCCATTAAACGGAATTGCCATTTCTGAAGGCGACACTGACTCATACTGGTTGACAGGTTGGAGTCGACCACTTGACTGAAGCAGTTTACTCCATGATCTCTCTCTAACGTGTGTAGAAACTAAATATGTAGCAGCGCTATCAGAGCTGGTGAACCCGCATTGCTGGGAGGCCTCTGGCAAATAAATACTTAATAAGCAACACTCCTTTTAAATGAGATTAAGACACAGTGGCTTATTTCCTTTCATAAAGTACACATTGATTTTAAATGAGAGGCAGTAAATTGAGTCTTTGAATAATACATTCATCGAAATAAAGAGGAAACATTGGTCTTCAGTGGAAAGATGGGGATGGGTCTCTTAATCACTTGTGTAGGGGTGCAGGAAACCAAACAAATTGATCTGAAGTGCCATGTAAACAGAGTGTCAGTACACTGTAATGTGTTGTAACAGGCAATAACAGTAGCTGGGAGGACGGCATACCAAAGACTATCACAGTGGCTGTGGCACTGCGTCTCTTTGCCACAATGTTGCTGGCCAGGCAGGTGTAGTTGCCCGAGTCGGATAGCCGTGCCTCGTTGATGATGAGGTTGTGGTCTGCACGGGTGTCGATGTTGTCATCAGTCAGGGAACTCAGCAGCTCTTCATTTTTTAGCCATTCCACCTGTACAAGAGAGGTGATAAAGGGCAGAGATAATAAACAATTTTGCAGAAAAACCTCACATATCCATTCTAAAACATAAACCGAATATTAAAGGATCGTTTTGGTTCATCACAACCTGGGTCTTGTGTTTGGTGGACGGAGTTTGACAGAAGAAACACGAGAAGTCGGATGATGAGACAGATAAGCAACAATTATTTATAAGATTATCTAAACCACTTTTTTTTGGGTAAAGTAAGCATCCCTGAAATGTCGACAAAAATAGTAAGTAATGTGAGTCATAATTTTGCCATAAATGTTTACTATAAATGTTTAAAAAAATGCTGCACTGACGACTATAGTTCATCAAAAATGTGTCTATAAAACAAGATAACCGTAATTTTTTGACAGCGGATCAGTTTGAAATATTGTAGGGAGTAATGGAACAGTTGTGAGGAGCCATAGTGAGCTGTCTGATGAGGAGCTGCAGGCGACAGGCTGCACACCTCCAACTTCTCAGCAAGTTAACCAACTCGTTTCAATGTGCCCTGCTGTTCGCAGACTCATGCCGTGTGCAGCATAAAATCAGATCACGGTTGCTCACAGAATGATGGAAAAGGCCAATTATTGCCTGACTTCTGAATTAAAACAGAAACAGTTTGTGCTGCCTCCAGAATTCTGTGACCTGTAGTATTTAGCCGCTCTTGCTGTTAGGCATACCACCAGTAACCACGGGTGTCGCTAAATCAACTAGGACTGAAATCTTAACAATTACAACTTTAAATCTTATCTGATTGTTCGACCCCCGTGTTTCACGTGGAGCACCACTCCCGGAGATAGCTGTCGGATTGGGCTTGGAGCTTTATAACAGAAAGCCTGCGTTACAAACTGGAGGCATGGAGTCTGAGCTATGTGACAGTTTGCCAAGCACGGAGGGTCTAATGAAATATGCTACTGAGTTGCATCATATGAAATGTGGGATCCAGTATTTTTGGAGTTTGATGCAAATGGGAACTGACAGTCAGGATATCTTGGCCTCTGACACACTGATTTTGAACTTCTCTGTCACCCAGCTTCACAAAAGTGCAGTACAAAATTGCTAGTGGCTGTTAGTCAACTAGTAATGAATAAAGACTCTTAAAGCATTCCATTAACACAGCAGTAGCTTTAGTACTATTGCAAATTTGCTTGGTTTGCCCAAATAAAAATCTGGTGTCAGTTGTCTGTCTCTTGTTTCCTCCTGTCTCTCAGTTTTGGAACTCACTCACGGATTGAGTGGTTTTCCAAATTTTGAATCACATTATGCATCAGTTTGCCAATTTCAAATGTGGCAGCTTTAACACAAGTGCTATCAGCGTCAATATCAGTGACAGTGCCGCTAATCTGGCAGCTGGAGGTCTCTTTCTGTTTGCAGGGTTACCAGTGCACTCGATGCAAACGATGGTTTTGACATGCACCACTGACAGCGAATGATGCGATGACTTCTGAATGATGTCAGGTGTCACAGGTGAAACCATTCACTTCAGTCAAATATGGCTAGGAAGTAGAATAGCAGAAATAAATCTATGTATACTCAATGTCCATATTCTAAAGCCCCATTCTGACTGGATTTTTTCCCCCAGGGGAGGTGGGGTGATTTTAATATTATCTGTCCTTTTCAGTGATGTTAATCCCATCCTTAATTTTCCTTCCTTTCATTAATCTTGGTACAATGCCATGAATGCCTTTGAGGGTAGACTGAGATCAGTAATGCAGTCAAGAGGAGGCTATGATGGCAGGCTTCCCCCCCCCGCCTTTGAGTGTTGCCATTCGGAACAGTTTTAAACACAAGATTTGCCCAAACTAATTAGTTTCAAGCATGCTGAACCCTTAAGTCTCACCTTTTCAGAAGATGCAGATCTCAAATTTGGACTCAATCCCCTTAAAACTGTAGTGATACACACATAACTGATACAGGTCCCACACGGCTGTGATTACCAAAGCTAGGCAGCCCAACCACGGACACTAAAGTCATTAGGAAGTCAAAAGAAGCACTATAACCAATTACCAGCAACAGAGAGGAAAACTAATTATGAATTACAAACTTAGTGACGCTTTAGCGCTTCTACCCTGGTAAAGGAGTTGCATCGCCGCGTTTGCAAATTACATTCATAGTGTGGCAGAATGGGTCGGGCTGATGGATTTATAGGAAGCGCACAGGCACCCTTTATAATAAAAAACACTCACAGGCTGGATGCAAATAAGAAGCCTGTGGGCATGCAAAGACTGGGTAACTAGAAATGACATACAGACCTGGGGGATGATGGATTGTAGCTATATATATTGACACGAATAAAAATGATAATGAACATCATAACATAGTAATCATTTCTCACATCCAGTATTTTTTCACACCTATTTGAGTCAATTGCACCAATGTTAACGGGAGTGGGAATTTTTCTTTTTCGACAGAGAGGAGCACATTACTGTTACGACTGCTGAAGCCTCGGTTTTTCCCCGTTTGCCTTGAAGAAAACTTGGAGGCCGATCTTCAAACACTCGCAGATTCTTCTCTACAATTAAAAGATAGCCTTTAGCGCGGGTTTCATCAGAAGTAAAGCGCTTAGCATCGCTGATAGATAAGGAAATAGAGAGACAGAGCACTGGGAGACGGAGTCTAATTTCTCATGATTAAAGTCCTTTGTCACTGAATGGGTGACCTAAGTGGTGGCACCTCCACCATCCGACTCTTTATGTATTTATTTCAATTTTATCCTGGGAAATTTGTGACTTGAAAGAGGCAATTAACGTGTTGCACGAGCCGGCCCTTGCAGTGTTTGGGGCCATGCTGCACATTAGCTGTCTGTCTGCCGCTAACAGCCCTTGGGTAATGATGAAAAGATTCAGTGAGCAGAAGGGAAGAGAGAGAAACACACACAAAGGAAAGGAGAGAGAGAGAGAGTGAGAGAGACACAGAGAGAGAGAGAGAGAGAGAGAGAGAGAGAGGGAAAGGGGGGGAGGTGGTGGGAGAAAAAAAAATGAAGGGACAAATACAAATTAGCCTGGCAAGTATGTGGCAGAGGATGTGAGAAATGAATTGCCTAATTGGCACATTTGTTTCAATTAGGATGTGGTCATCAGTGTCAGCCTTGACGGAGGGGTTTCCAGGCAGGGCCCCACATCAGGGCTTCCTCGCTGTGATTTCAATACTCGGACCGCCCCTGAAGGTCACCTCCTCCAGCCCCACACAGCAGCCAGGTCCTCTTATCTACTTAAGTACACACACACATGCACACAGCTCATTCAGATGACATTTGCTGATGATTAGATGCTGAGAAATGTGGCGGTTGAGGGGCAATTAGAGGACAGAAGATGTAATGTAATGGGTGACACTGCAGCCATCATCTAGACTTATGAGGAGAGTGCTGAAGACCTTGCCAGCTGACGCATTTTTCCCTGTGTGCCTCATCGCCCACTCCTAGGTCTAATGGTCATTTGATGTCAAGGTGACGCAGTACAAATGGTGCTTTTCGGTGCTATAAGGAGAAAAATCTGTCTGCTGAGTCATGCTTAGGTGTCACAATTTACCATGATCTCTTCCCTTCGGGCAACCTTCAGTCGCCTGTGGCGAAGCCGGCATGAGCATCAGAACTTTTTTTAATTTCTGAGTATCTCATCAGTGCAATTACATGGATTAAGTGTCTCCGTAAGGCATACCCCGGGGACCGGGGGACGCCGTCTGGGCCCGCTGAGCAGCATATCAGAAACGATACTGCATGGAGCATGGAGCTAATCCATCGGACGGATTCCTCCGGCAACCAATCAGCAGCAGCATTTCTTAAAGGAAGGCATGCTCATTGCCTGCACACGCACACACACACAGATACCGCAGACACTTTGAACTCTGCATGGCTCAATGTGTTCATGCGAAAGGCAAGCCCGACAGCAGCAGGTAGAGTCGGAGGGAGCTATCTGCGGCTCAGCTGTGCTCTCCCGCTCCGGAGGTTAATCAGAAAAGATACGGGGAGAACACAAAGTGGGCCTGCGTCGCCCATCCGCCTCCCCTGTTGCTTCCCAAATGCCACCTCGCCTCCCCTTCGAGCTATGTGGCACTGCATTACAATTCCACCCCGATCTGTCTTATCTTAACGAAATAAATAGAGGGAGCTCCCGTTTTCGGTCTGGGCTGGAGGAGGATGTAATTGCTCAGCTTAATAATGAAGCTCATCATCTGCTCTGTAGGAGACTTTCTCTGACCTATGAGAAAATAACAGAGGCGCTCGGCAGCAGGATCGGAGAATAGAAACAAGTGCAGAGGAGGCAGGAGGTGGGACAGAGTTAAATGCTAACTTGTTTTGGAGTAGCATGGCAAATGTCTTTGTGAAGCTCAACAGAGAACAGCTTGTATCACAGTGCAGAAGCATTTAGTTGATTCCCCTTTGTGTTGTAGCCTAGGCTGTCTACCTGAGCTACTGTAGATCAAGGGGATTCATCTTGGATTAAAGGCTTTCATTCAGGGAAGTTGAAATTGGCTTCCAGTTTGGCTCTTCATTTCACACTTTCTCTCAGAGTAACCTCTCAAAAGAAACTCATTATACAGGGTTCTCATGGACTCCTTTCTCCCAGAGTTAAAAGATCTGCTCTGTATTCACACCCCCTGATATCTGTGAAGTAAAAGTGGGGGATTGGTTTTGGATCGGGAGCACCGAAGCGAAATTACAAATAAGCCGCTCCTACGTTCTATTAACCATAGGCAAATTACAGTCTCTGCTCCTTGGATACGACGTATGACGGTATTTTTGGAGCAAAACACTTGAGATTTTGCATGTTGCAATTTACACTCACAGACAATAGACAATAATGACAATACTCACACACCCGTGTCCTGAATTTGAATTAACAGAAAAGAACCACAAGTATTGTTCTGTTGATTAACTGTTGAATGGATATCTGAAGATGTCTGTGCATTAAAGATGAAGCCTGACAAAGAAATGTTTTTTTTAAATGCAGGGAGAAAATAACTGATTGATTTAACAGCATTTCAA